TCTCCATATGTTCCAGATCTGACCCTAATTGACCTCCCAGGGATTGCAAGAGTTCCAGGCTGGGAAGCTGATAAGTTATAGCAGTACACTTTAATATGACTTGATCCCTAAGTATGAAGTTTTGCCAAAGGCACATAACCAAAACATATTTACTCTCCCAAAAATAGTTAAGTTATAAAAAAAAAAAAAAGCAACAACAATATGATTATAATGGAGGAAGTGCCAGTAATAGGAAAGATAATTGTATGTTGTATATGAAGCAAATTGAGGGGAAAAAGCCTTGCATGCATAGCTATAAGTATGCCTGGAAATCCCTTTGTTCTCCCCAAGAATTGTGAGGGAGTACAGAATTGGGAAAAAAGGGCACATGAAAACTTGTATAATGTCTTTCCCAAGTATACAGTTGGTCCAAAAAAAATTACCATCAAAACAAACATTACCACTTCCCTAAGTTTCCATACATAATTACAATTGTGTGACCACAAATCTCAACTATACCATGCACCTCATTCCTTGCCAAGTAATCAACTTTTATGACTTAATTTCATTCCATTACAGATCATAAAACGTATTAAAACATATATTACTAAACAAGAAACCATAAATTTGGTGGTGGTATCCAGTAACATAGATATTGTAACTACAGAGGCCCTAAAAATGGCTAATGAGGGGGGAGAGAACTCCAGGTAAGTAAAGATATGCCCATTTGCAAAGAAAATGGGGTGGGGTTGGGTTATGAAAAAAGTCATTATTAAAAGAATGGTTGGTAATAAACCCTGAGGAGACCAACTGTTTTCTTTTGTACTCCACACCTATGTTGCTAAAAGAGAAAAAATGTACATTAGAATCTACAGTGGATAAGTAGCAGAGGAGACGGCCCTGTGCTTTGGCTATGGACATATTTGAAATTCATACAAAATCTCATTTATTTTTTGTTTCAGATAAAAATGTCAGATGCTCTAGGCACAAATCCTTAAGGGACTACCAAAAAAAAAAAAACCCCACAGCATTTTTAATCCTTTCTCTTGTGTGAAATGAAGTAGTATAACTAGATGAGAACCAGTGGTGCACTAGCCCCAGGTGCTGATTTAGAGGTGGCACCAGAATTGTGGCCCCTGGTGAGTGCACATGGTAGCAGCAGCAAGGGGTATGTGAGAAGCCTGCACCATGGCAGCAGCGGGCAGGGTATGGGGAGTCAGCACTGTGGCAGCAACAGCTGGAGGCTTTGAGTTTCTGGAGCCAGTAAGGTCCTCAGGCTCTTAGCGCACTGCTGCCCTGCTCTCTGTCATTTCTAATTATATGTTTACTAAAATGTTGGGAGTTATGCCTCTTCTATGTTCCTGAAAATGTCTATTCTAAAACTTTCTGATTTGTGAATCATATAAAATTAGGGTTGGGATCTCAGGAGGTCATCTAGTCCATCACTTTGCTCAAAGCACGACCATCCCCAAATAGATCATCCCAGCTAAGGCTTTGTCTAGCCAGGCCTTAAAAACCTCCAAAGATGGAAAGTCTATCACCTCTCTGGGTAACCTGCTCCAGTGTTTTACTACCCTCCTAGTGAGAAAGTTTCTCCTTATATCTAACCTCAACTTCCCTTGCTGCAACTTGAGACAGTTGCTCCTTGTTCTGTTATCTGCCCCCACTGAGAACAGTCCATCTCCATCCTCTTTGGAACCACCCTTTGACATGCAATCCACTGCTGTTTGGATTAGGTTTCGGGTCGCATCTGCATCCAGCCCCTCTGGCTTGCCCACATGCACAACCATCCCAAATGTGAATTCTCAGTGAGTACTCTTCCTCCACTGACCAGACATTGTACCTCTCCAGTGTGAATGGCTGTAGTTTTTGATACCTAATCAGTAATTACCTGATTGGCTAAATATAAAAATGCAATTACATCAAATATCAGGGTTCATACAAACATAAAAAATAAGACTAAACACAGTTTAAAATTAGCTACAAACAGAGACCTAACACTGTATTAATAAAACTAATTGAGGAAAACATCTACACATGAGATTCCATGAAAACTTCAAAGTATTCCTACTTTTGGGATGGGTTCATGACAATCACCTTATCCTTAATTATGAAACCAAAGGTGGTGCTTCCTTCAAAAAAGAAAAGTGCATCAGCTCTCTGCATATAACAATTCTCTTGTTGCTTCTCAGGAGTTCTGACCAAACCAGATTTGGTGGACAAAGGAACAGAAAGAACTGTCATTGACATAGTCCAAAATTTAAGTGTTCCTCTAAGGAAGGGTTATATGATTGTAAAAAGTCATGGACAACAAGCCATCAATGACAAGTTGACCCTGGCTTCTGCAATTACAAGAGAGAGAGAATTCTTTGAAGAGCATGAATTTTTTAGGTTGGTTTTTAAAATCAATTCACACTGATCAACTTACAGAGTTTTCCCTATTAATTGTTGAGAGGGAAAAAAGTAAAGTAAATGTGATCAGCACAATTTTTTTCAGTAGTTAAGCCTAGGTTACATAGGGATTGGGTACAGACAAGAAGGTTATCTGTGTGCTTACTCTCCAGCTGAAACAGGTAGATCTTATTTAAACACTGGATGAAACTGGTTGGTATTTCACTAGCAGTAAAATACTGCTTCTTGGGGAGAGGTACAAGAAAAGAAACTATGACTCAGACCATGGACAGATACCACATTTGTGTCAGGAAATATGTCCATTTCCTGGCACAAAAAGTGAGTTTATGGGTGTTCAAGCAATTTATGGCAGAAAAAGCAAAGTAATTCCACTACAAATGGTTAGCTATTTATTTCAACCAGCAACCTCTCTCAAGAGAGATGTTTTTAGGACCATGTGTAATATCTGTATGCTTACACTGGGTGGTATAAAGTCTCTAGGACCCTTAGACTCCTACAGTCCCCCATTCGCCCTACCCTCTCAAAATGGGAGGGAGAGGTAGGCAGCTCAGTGGCGAGAGGAAAGGAGACTGGACAGTCACCTCACTGGGGTCACTTGACCCCAGTTGTCTTTTCCTGCCTGGTGCAGGGGGACTGCACCTGATTATCTACAAGGTCCCTTCCAGCCCGACAATCTATGAATCTATGAACTGTTGAAGAACCCTACTTGGGTTCCCACTTGAACAGTCCCAGGACATTTTTGGGACTGTTCAAGTAGCATTGCCAGTTCCTGCCACTCCCTGTACAATTCCAGAAAGTCCCAGGATTGTATGAGATGCAGCAGGAATTCCCTCACCCTAAGTCTCCCCTCCCTGACCTTCTGCCAGTCAGCAGATGGAGCAGACAGGCATAAGTTTGGGGAGCAGGATTTTTCACTTTGGTCCTCTAAACAGCTATATAATCACTCTCAGCTCCTGCAGAAAGGAGATCCACAACTGAGTAAGCCTATATTTATGAGGAGAGGCTGAAGAAACTGGGGGGGAAGAGAAGACTGAGGGGGGATTTAATAGCAGCCTTCACCTACTTGAAGTGGGGCTCAGAAGAGGATGGAGCTGAACTCTGCTCACTGGTGGCAGATGACAAAACAAGGAACAGTGGTCTCAAGTTGCAGCAAGGGAAATTTAGGTTGGATATTAGGAAAAGCTTTCTCACTAGGAGGTTAGAAAAGTAGGTTGCCCAGAGAAGTGGTGGAATCTCCATCTTTAGAGGTTTTTAACACCTGTGTAGACAAAACCCTGGCTGGGATGATCTAGTTGGCAATGGTCCTGCTTTGATCAGGGAGTTGGACTAGATGACCTTCTGAGGTCCCTTCCAACCCTCATTTTCTATGATTCTGCAATTCTATACCACCTCTGTGAGGAGGGTAGAAGTACTGCCAAGAAACAAAACCTGCTCACTTGCACCCACTTCATACATAAGAGTGCAAATATTACCCGAGATCTAACTAGCCCAGTATCTTCTCTGAGGGGTAAATACTAGCTACTTTAGATCATTCATGTCAAACTCATCCAACCAAAACTCATTCCAGCTCCACAGCCACTCCCATAGGCCAGATGACATGACTTTGTACTCCAGATCCAGCCTGCAAGGTTCTCCATGAGGCAGAAAATTTGGTGGCAGGATGAGCAACAACAGCATTTTTTGCCACAGATCTCATGGGAAGCCCTGTAGGAATATTGTTATGGCTTCATAGGTCAGATCTGACCCATAGGCTGGGTCTTTGATACCCTGCTTTAAAAGAAAAATATAAGAAACAAGGTAGAATGAGTCATACCTGTCATACTCTCCCATTCACTGTAAGTAGTTTGTATCCCTAATTGTTGTGTTTAATAGCCCCGGTGGACCTGTCCTTTGTATATTTGTCTAATTCCTTTTTTGAAATTGGCTATACTTTTGGCCTCCACAAATTAATTATGCTAAAAGGGTACTTCCTTTTGTTTGGTTTGAGCGCACTTCCTGATAATGTCATCAGGTGCTCTACAGTTCCTGTGGAAATAATAAACTGGGAACTGTCATTTACATCTTTTATTATTTCAAAGATCTCTCTCATATTCCTGTCTTAGTCATCTCTTTTTCCAAGCTGAACAGTCCCAGTCTGTCCAGTCTCTCCTCATATGGAAGCCATTCTGTACCCTACATCTTCTTCATTGCCCATATCTGTACCTCTTCTCTAAAAAGAATCAGGTCAATGCACAGTGGCAGTCAAAAGGCAGAACACAAGGTTAAGAATCATTAGAAAAGAAACTGAAAACAACATAGAAAACATCATTGTGCCATTCCTGGTACACCTACCTACTGAATACTGCCCGCTGTTTGAACTGATTCTTTTTAGAGAACACTTCACAATGGTTAGGTCTCTCCAGCCTGCAGAAGAAATGACTAAGGGGGCATATTTGACAAGTCTATAAAATCGTGAATAATGCAGACATACAAAAAAACTAGAACTCTTGGTTCCAAAATGATACCTTTTATTAGACCAACTGGGAAATCACAAGAAAATTGTCCTTCTCTGCATGCTTTTAGGTTCAAAGTCCCTTCATAAGGCTCTGGGAAAAGTACAGATGGTACAAGGTGGCAAAAAGTCCCCATAGGTAGGAAATAAACTTCATTTTTGCACAGAGGGAGGTGAAGATGGAAGGCTGTCTATCTGGGTCCATGAGAGCTGTGCTGAGTAGCTCTTTGATGTGTAGATCAGGTAGAGTTCCTTCCCTGGAGGTTTCAGATGGTGTTAACCAGGTCTTCAGTAGGTTCATCATAGTAATTTATAAATTCATATGAAATTCTTTGGGATAAAGTAAGCTCTTATGTATACTGCAAGTATAAAAAGGTATTATTTTATTGTATTCTTTAATCTCTTTCAGCATTCTTCTGGAAGAAAAAAAGGCTGCTATCCCTCTCTTGGCAGAAAGACTTACACAGGAACTGATGGATCACATTAATGTAAGCTATCAAATTAGAGCTACTGGTTCTTTGGAAAGGTATTTGATAAGGCACAAAATGAGAGAATGTTTTTTTAGCTCCTTTGCCAGGGTATTTATTTTGTTGGACAGACCTTTCTGAAACCTTAACTAGCTTCTAGAAAATTGAACATAATGGGAACTTTTTCTCCGAAAAATATGTATTTTATAACTAGTGATTAGGGATAAAGCAATTTACATGCATTTGTTACATATGGTCAAACAAAAAGGAAAATTATTTTTTATTTAATTATTTAACAGTGGGCTATTAGTGACTGTCTGAATGTACCTCTATGCCAATACCTAGGTGGATAAAAAAAATGATTGATACTTAACGAAAGGTTCCATGGACTCTTACCGTGGGTTAAAGTTTAAAAAAAAGCAAAAGAAAACTTAGCCTCACTTTGTTAATACACAATGACAATGTATATTGTGAACTAGTCAATGAGCTGTTTTTGTTTCTTTCTTTTTTTTCAAGTCTTTCCTTTTTATTTTTCCTTACCTTCAGAAATCCCTGCCAAATTTAGAAAAGCAAATACAGCACAAACTCCAGGTTGCAAGCAGCAAGTTACAAAAGTGTGGCCTAGGCATACCAGAGACAGCTGAAGGGAAGATGCTCATTCTAGTAGAGGGAAGTATAAATGTGGATTTAGTAACACATTTGAATAAAAGGCCAATTAGCCTTTGGAATCAAGAGTATATTAGATGTTCAACTCTTTGTAGACTGTGTGGTCATGAAACCACCAAATAACTATACGCATATCCACATGTGTTTTTGTTAATTTTAGAAAATTAAACTATGTAACGTTATTATTAATTCTCATCTTTAGCAACCCAGGATGCAAAATGAACCCGGTTAAAAAAAAAGACACTTTTTTTTCTGTCGTGCAATTATCGGCTGTCATAATCGAAGGGGAGCATCCAAGCTATCAGTGTCCTGAAGCATGCCCTGGATTATAGAGTATCCTGCGTTAAGAAAAAATACGGTGGGCATCAAAGCTAAATAGAAGGTTCACCCAATTAAGATCCAGCTCTACAAAGTTATATCCCACAACAATATTTTGCCCTGAATAGCAGTAATTTTTAGAAGTAACATTGTTTGCCATCTGTACTTTAACCAAACCAGGTAGTCCTGGAATTAATATACAAAGCCACTCCTCAGACAATGAGACGGTCAGGATTGGGGTTATACACTAAAACAGGGCTGACCAACATGTAGCACTGGATAGCCTTTTTGGGTGGTATGAAGGGCGCTCACCAAGGGCGTCCGGGACTGCCTGCTTGCCAAAAAGGCGGCGTACGCCCGGTGGAAGGGGGGTGAAATCTCCAAAGAGGAGTATACCTCCTCAGCTCGGGCCTGTAGGCGAGCTGTTAGGAAGGCCAAGGCGGACATGGAGCTCGGACTAGCGTCCAAGATTAAGGATAACAAAAAGTCCTTTTTCAAATATATTGGGAGGATGAAGAAGGTGCCGGGTAATGTGGGACCCCT